TTTATCGATTGTAAAGGTGAGAAGAAAAAGAACTTGACAATTCTCAAGTATTTGATAAACTTTTGAATCACATTTTCCCGCTTTTAGAAGCAATAAAATACTAATCGATCCAAAACCTTTTGAAGATTTAACCAAAGGTTCTCAAACTTGAGGAATTGACATCTGATGACAGATTTTACAATGGATAAAGAAACTTGTTCCTACTTACTACTATGCATGATGAGAAGTTATTGTTATTTTTATTAATAACCATAACTTTTCTCACTCCTATTCTTGATTTTCTTTACTTGTCACATCGTAATATTGAATAATTACGAGATGTTACAAATTTATTTACAGTACAATAATAAGAGCGTCGAAGTTCTGCTCTCGGCGAATTAAAAGAACGATTTGTATTAGACGATAAGAAAAGATTATTGAAGAAAATTGAAGATTTCTTGTGTTTGTTTTCTTTCGTGTTCGAATAAAAATTGGAAGAAAAGTTCATGTTAAAAAAAAAGATTTTTGAATATTTGAATATCGATTCTGATTATTTTTAGGTTGCTTACAACGACAAGATTCTCAATATTCGATTCGATCTGAAACATCTTCACTAGATAATAATGATGCAAATCTAAAGAACAATTTATCCATCCAATCGAAATGTTGTCGAAAGCCTTTCTTTTTACGAGTCCTTGCTCTCAATTCGCCCGAATGGTTTTCGATCTTCATTGGTAGTCTAACATCATTGATTTATGGTTCAGTGACACCTTGTTATGCATTGATATTTTCTCTGATCTTTGGTTTATTTTCTCAAGACGCAACTACAGCTGCGAACAACGCTCGAAACTATGCAATAATTGTTTTTTGTGTTGGATTAGCTGGAGGTGTTTGTCAATTTCTTTCATCTTATGCGTTTGCTCGATCCGGTGAAGCATTAACTGTTCGAATGCGTGTAATGTCTTTTGCAACAATGTTGCGCCAAGAAATGAGTTGGTTCGATGAAGAAACAAATCAACCATCAATTCTTGTTACTCGTCTATCGAAAGATGCAGCTGCATTGAAAGGCATGACGGGTGTTACTATTGGAGCTTTTCTCAATGCTCTTGGAACTTTAGTTGCTGGTTTAGCGATTAGTTTTGTTGCTGGATGGAAATTAACACTTGTTCTTCTCTGTTTTACACCATTCATTGTTCTCACAGGTTTTATGCTCGGACAGAAATTAGCTAAAGCTGGCCAGAAGAAAATCGTTTCTACTCATGCCGAAAGAGGCAATATGGTAAGTGAAGCATCATTTCGGAAAGAACTTCTAAAATGATCGATATATTCGACTCAACAATCTATTTTTATTAAATGATTTTGTTTTATTCTCCCTCTAAATCAAAAAAAGAAAAAGAAGAAAAGAAAATCTGTACTATGAAGCAATATTCTTTGAAAGAAGTAGTGTCTATGAGGAGGGAAAGAAGCTCGAAAATCACTCTTATCCATGAATGTTTCAGTAAAAAAAACTGACAAAAAAATTGAAACTGAAAAGATTCATTTACGTCTCTTCAATTTGATACTTTTAACCTCTGATAAAAGATGTGAGAAATATTCTCAAAAGATTACTCACCTTTTTCAGTCTTGTTACTCATTGTAATCATTCTGATTTGATCAATGTTTCGAATCCCATCGAATAAAAGTATATTAGTTTGCGATTGATTCAGATCAATGTTGCGATCAATCATGTGAGATTGATCAAATATGAAAGAACTTTTTGAGTAGTGAAAACAAGATTCTAATAACAGAGTTTTATCCAACGTTGCCAAATCCTTGTAGAGGGTTTTCAGAGAGAAAAATCTGAAATAATCGAAGTAAACTAAGATTTAATGAATACATAACTTCATTTCCCATTCAGTTCAGTACAAAACCAAGACTTCGACAAATAAAAATCATGTGACTATTCATTTTAGTATGCCATTGAATCAATCAAGAATATTCGTACAATTGTTTCACTTCAAGTGGAAAATTATTTTATTGATCTTTACAAGGATGCGTATAATCGGGAGTTCAGGTAAATTCACTTTCAATCAATCAGTATTCACTGTATTTATCATGATCGTATTGATTAGAAAACATAAGAAGTTTGGAAGGAAAATCAATTTCCTTATGAAAGATAAAATAGAACTGTGTAGACGAACATATCAATTAAAGTTTTGTAGAATAAAATGAGATTCATTTTTCTCGCAAAAAATATCGAAATTCCTTGAGAAAGATTAGTGGGATGATACAGAGATGTTTGATGAAATTGAAGAAGAAACGATTTGAATGTCTGTTTTGCAAATTGTTCTTCGATTAATTTCAGAATGATTTGATGGATCGATTTTAATAAATTAAATTTCATTTTCAGAAGAGAACTTCAGTGTTTATTTGTCGAAATTATTTTCTCAATATTTGTTTATTGCTTCAAAAAAAAATCTTAAGGCGATCATTTTGGCAAACTCAAAAGATCGTGTTTGGCAATGCTATAGCAAATTCATTGATGTTTTTTATTCAATTGGCCGCTTTCGGTTATGGTGCTCAGTTGGTTATCAATCGAGAAATGACCTATGTCGGAGTATTTCAGTAAGTTCTTCGAGATCAAATATTCCAATGATTTGTATTTTCGTAGAGTTTTTGCTGTGATCACTTATGCCACAGTCGCTTTTGGTCGAAGTGCCAGTATGGTACCGAATTATAGTCGAGCAAAAGAAGCAGCGATCAACATCATGAATTTAAATGCTCGTCGATCTCGTATTGATCCAGATAATGAACATGAAGGACTAACTGTAGTGAGTCATATTTATTGTCTAAAGTAGATTTTTTGTTTCTAAGACTAATTGTGAAAAACAAAATCAATCTATATTCAACAAACTAAGAGATAGATTATTTCATGAAAGAACAAATTGACATCTTTACTTTTCTGTTTGTTTCTATTGGCGAATAAAACAATCTCGAAAATGAAAAATGAAATTTGTTTTAGAAAAACGTGAACGGTTCGTTGGAATTCGGAAATGTTGGATTTAAATATCCATATCAAAAGAGAAGACGTGTTCTCAAGAATTTCTCTCTAACATGTGCACAAAGTCAAACAACAGCCATTGTTGGTCCAAGTGGTTCGGGCAAATCAACATGCATCGCTCTATTAGAACGTTTCTATGATCCTCAACAAGGTACAGTGTTTCTCGATGGACATGATTTACGAACATTGAATGTTCAATGGTTACGTTCAATTGTCGGTCTTGTTGAACAAGAACCAATTCTTTTTAATCGTTCTATTCGTGAAAACATTGCCTATGGAGATACGACAAGAACTGTCACTGATGCCGAAATTGATGAAGCTGCTCGACAAGCTGATATTCATCATTTCATTACTCAACTAAAACAGGTCAGCAAAGTTCGTTTCTTTTTTCATTGAATCTAAATCTTTATTAAAGACATATGTTTTCTTCCGTAGAGAAGAGCCTCAGTTGAATGGTCCATTGAAAATTTTTCCTTTTTATTGAGTTAATGAAAAAGTAAATATCGTAAGAGAATTTCGATTTTGTTTAATATTTAGGGATATAAGACGAAATGTGGTGTTAGCAGTCAAGTTCAATTATCCGGTGGTCAAAAGCAGCGAATTGCTATTGCTCGAATGCTCATTCGTCGTCCTAAAATCATTCTTTTTGATGAAGCAACATCTGCACTTGATGTCAGAGTTGAACAGGTAGTTTTATCCATTGTTGAAAAGACTAGATGAAAGCATTTCTCAATGATATCTTTAGAATATTCTGCGTGAACTTAATCAACTACGACAAGATCGAACTTGTGTGACAGTGGCTCATCGGCTCTCGACTATTCGAAATAGTGATAAGATAGCTGTACTGGTTCGTGGACAATTAGAGGAAGAAGGAACTGATGAACAACTTTCAGCTAACCCACAAAGTACCTATGCACAATTGCTTCGAGCATCGGGACTTGATCGAACAAGTTCATCAAATCCTGATGATATTAGCAGTCAGAGTGAACGCTTCTAATTATTTTTCTACATTTAGCATTACAAAATTCAGATTAACATATTTCTTTTTGTACATCATTTTGTTCATTTATTTTGGTACGTAACTTTATGTACTTATTTTATCTATTCCTGCTTAGTCTCTTTCTGATACTGCTGAACAAAAAAATCGGTGTAGATGTACGTGTTGGTGTGGACCTTCTTCTCATCCACGCCTACATCCTTGCAGTGATGCTGAATAAAATCCAGACGCGAGAATTCTTTATCAAATCGATAACTTACTAAAAGAGCGTTTATTATATAATTACAAATTCATTGAAATTTCTTTTCAATAAATTATAACTAAATCACCATCGTCTTCATCAATAAAGTTCATGAACATTCGATCAATATTGGTATCCATCTAATACTGTTCGTTCGTGTATTAACAATTAAATAAGTATTTCAATCGAAAATGAAAGTAATCATTGCATCTTTATCAAGAAATTTTCGCCAGATTCTGAAAGCATCAGTAGTCCAATTTCAAACGCCACAAATAGATCTTCTTTTGTCCTATAACAAAAATTCCTTGTTCCCAGGAAAATTTTTTGGATGTTTTACAAGAAAGGTGTGGGTGTTCTCTACTTTGTATACCCACACTCACACACTCACAGCCACCTCACACGCATACCCACACCCACACGCATAGTCCCACACACACCGTCACGATACTACTGGGAGAATGTGATAAAATAACCAAAGAAATGAAAGTGGTTATAGCAAAATGCGAAGCTGATCGTCTGTGTAGTTCATAATTTCTAGGTGCATATTTATTACACATCTCTTCACCTAATGTACCATCTTTTTGCAGGAGGTTATACTGAAAGAAAGAAATACGGACTTCGGTTCTAAAATACTGCATGCTCCACTAGTAGCGTTCCGAGAATGTTAAAACAATACAATACTATCTAACGACGGATATATTGCCGAGCTGTTACTTTTCTATGACCAATTGTAAGTGTAAGCATGAAAGCGGGAGACACTTCTTCGTTTCTTGCGAGGGAACATTCCCAGGCGATTCGCTCCATTTCGATTAATTTTTTGCAAGTATGTGGCGCTCATTATATATGTAAAATAACTTAAAGGATTCGTGCCATTACTGCACGGTTTCAAAGTTTTGAGCGATATATCTGCTATATTAGATGGGGCGGTGTCGGTGGGTGTTATCTTCAATCATACCCACATCCACCCCACACCCACACCCAGCCACCCACACCCTCACACCCCACACCCACCCACACACCTACACCCACCCACACCCATACCCGCACCCCCACACCCAAAACCACACACTCACACTCACACCCACACCCACAC